TTTTGCTGCAGATGCGTGGAGACTGTGTAACGGAATGCACATGAAACCAAACGGCGGCTCCCTGCAGCCCGCCCTGATGACGCTCCCCGTCCGTCTAAGGGGTGCGCTGCCTGGAGACGGCTGTGAGACCACTGCAGCTCCACCTCCACCCTTCCGATCAGTACTGCAGGCGTCTCCTCTTCCATCCTTGCGCTCACATTTGTCTCCTGAGTGCTAGGGTTGCCCCTCGTAAACGGCACGACCAGGTTTCTGACGCTACCTCAGTCTCTCCTTTCTAGCTGAGATCTGTGACCCCATTAGTGCTGACCCACCAGCAGCACGGCTGGATGGAAACCCCCCTCCCCGAGGCTGCCTGCCTGTCCCTCCTGCTCTCTGCTCTGTGTCTCCCCTTTCCTCCTGGCTCACCTGCTTTCAAATTTAATATTTTTCATTATTCCATGTTTTCCTTCTGTCAATGTAAAGTGCATTCATTACTGTCTCACATTACCCTGGAGATTACGTGCATCCTTACCGCATGAAAATCGAATCCCGGTTGCCCCGCATCCTCTCCCTAGAGGAGTGGGCACCCAGAGACACCTGACCTCCATCACCCCCCCAGCGCTCAGCCTGCCGCGCTGTAGTTTAATCTCTTGTATTTTCAAACCAAACACAGCTATCCTTGCTTCACACAGTCACCACTCGTTTGGACTGACCTATACGTTCACCGTTTTATCTTCTGAGCAGACCTTCCCCGGTCGTCCTCCTCGCCCCCACCCCATTTCAACAGCCCTCTGTCTGCCTCTCCCAGCAGACCCAACCCAAGACACTGGGGTCCTAAGGGCCTGGGAAGTGGACTTAGGACCTGGCCTTGTGCGGAGGAGCCGGGCTGGTGGCAGCTGACACAGAGGCCCTGGTGGGGCTTCTAACAGGCCGGGGTGCTTAGGACCCAGAGGCAAGAGGCGAAAGCCAGTGGCCCTGGGGAGGAGCCAAACAAGGCTGGGAGGCCAGGACTGGACAGCCGAAGGGTGTGGGGCAGAGGGAAGGACAGACAGACAGGCTGCCAGAGAAACAGCCTGACCAACGTCATTTCTACACTTTGAAGTCTTCACGCAGAAAGGCACAAAGATTCAATCCCGTCTCTCATGCGCCACTGCGACAAAAGTAAGAGCTTCAGAGCGGCGGAGGGGGGCGACCGGGAGCTCCGCGCCCCGGGGCCTAAATTTAGAACTCTCTCCCTGCACCTGGGTTCTGGTCTGTGAACCCGGGGCAGTCAGAAGGCAAGGGCGGGGATGTGCGGCCAGCCCTCGGTCAGGCACGCGGACGCCGGCTGGCCCCTGGACGTTCATCGCGAAGACGAGTGGGCCCTGACCACAGGGTCCATGGCGAATGTCCGGAAGCAGACCTCGCGCCACCCCAAGCCGCTCCGCTGGCTCCTGGGCCCTGCGGAGACCCTTCTCCCAGGATGATGCAGAAACGACGCCTGGCCAAGCCCCCGAAGGGAGAATGCAGGCTCAGTGGGGACCCCCTTCTCAGGACCCCAGAGCCCTGAGGCCCTGCCCTGGGGCCTGTCCCCGCCTTGGGGCCCCAGGGAGCCGTCCCACAGCTGCTCCTGCTCCCACCGCCCAGTACCAAGCGCCGACCACCTTGCATCACCCCTGCCCCTGAAGACCTCTAGAATCAGTCCCTCCCCTCGTCTGGACAACGAGGTCATGTCCAGGCTCTTTCCAGCTCTAACAGCCAAAGATTCCAGCTTCTGCATCAGAACACAAATTAACTTTCTGTTTTAAGCAAAAAGAAACCCCACAGACAATTTATTCCAGATAACTATTATTGAGTTTGTAAGAAATTATCTTGCGGTCTATTTTTAAAACATCACTGAGCTCAAATAGACAGCTGCATGCTCGCATTCATAACCACTGGCCACATTAATCAAAGATGAGAGCAACCACAGGGGCCATCATCGTCAGAAGGATGGATAAATACAAAGTGTCCGTCCACACAGTGGAACGTTATTCAGTCTCAAAAAGGAAAAACACTCTGGCACCTGCTACATGGGTGAACCGTGAAGATGCTATGCTAAGTGAAATAAGCCAGACACAAAAGTCAATTCCTGGAGGCAGAAAGCAGGCAGGGTGGGTGCCAGGGGCTGGGAGGAAGGGGGACTGACTGAGTCATGGGCACGTTCAAAACGATGTGCGTGCTTACTGCCTTCAACTGGACATTTAAAATGGTAAATTCAGTGTTCTGTTCTACCACAATTAAAATACACACACACACACACACCCTAAATAAAGGTAAACAAAGGTAGAAAAAAGTCACAAAGATATTTTCAAAACATTTATCTGACACAGGATGTGTCCCCAAAACGTAAAGAACTACTACAAAATCTACTTTTAAAATAATAAAATAAATAAAAATTTAAAAACTAGAAGGACATGAATAGGTTATTAATTCAAAAAAGGGAAAACTCATAGCCAAAGAGCCCATGATGGATCCTCAGCCTCACTCACAGTCTGTGAAATACAAATTAAAATGAGCTGGCATTTTACGGACACAGGAAGATTTCAGTTCGACAGTCCCAAGCGTCAGTGACCGGGGGGACATGTCCCGCTGGTGAGCAGACCCTGGGTGGGCTCAGCCACACCTGTCACAGCCACCAGATGCCCAGAACGGCTCTCAGGGTCCCGGGTGTGCACACGGACCCCCGCCGCCCCCTGTCCACGGACGACCTGCTCAGAGGAGATGGTTCCGACCTTGCATGCAGCACCAGGCAGCAGCAGAGTGGAATAAAATCCGTTCATAGTGAAACGTCGCATAACAAGTAAACTAAACTAAAACTACAGGCAAAGCTTGAAAATATGAAACAGTGTTTAAAAACTGGCGAATAAGATACGGAGTAGAGTTACATCTCGGTAAAATTTTAAAGCATACAAAATGAACCAGTGAAAGGACCGTGCTGCCAGGGTTGAGGGCAAGCAGGAGCGGTGAGCAGGCGGAGCACGTGGGGTTCAGGGCTGGGGGCCTGCTCCGTGGGACACCGTGGTGGCGACTGCGCGCCCTCCTCCATCCGGCCAGACCTTCCGGATGACGGCACCAGGGGCGGCCTCCACGCAAGTCTGAACTAAGGCTAAAAGTCACGTACCCGAACGGCCTCCACGCAAACTCTGAATTGAAGCTAAAAGTCACGTACCCAGCACAGCATACACGCAGAACTCTCGGTACTTCCCGCTGAACTTCTCTGTAAACCGAGAACTGCTCAAGGAGTGAAGTCTATTCATTTTTCCAGCGTTACAGATCAAAGAGAAGAGCCACACAAGGTGATACGTTAGGACCTGTGGCTCAGAACCAAATCTCTAAGAGGGGGTATGAAAGGGAGCAGGAGCCCTAGAGGTCTTCCTGGGACACACCCTCCTGCGCCCCCACCTCCTGTTTCTAGGAAAGCTTTCGCCTCCTGACTTTCCCCCAGTCCCGAAGGGCAGATTCAACCAGAAAGTGAGACAGTGCGAAAACGAAAGGAAACCGCCAACCAGGACAAGATAGTAGCCGTCGAGCCGCAAAACAAAGTCAAGGACCTTTACTCTCCCCTCAAGGGCTGCGGGGCGTCCTGAGCCACGGCCTCGAGCTGCTCTGCAGACACGGAAACCCTCGCCAGGAGGAAGCGAGCTGCGCGCTGCCCCCACAGCACCCAGGCCCCAGACCAGCTGGAAGCAGAAGGCGGACGGCTGAGATGCCCGTAACGTCACCTCGTTACCTCAGCACCCGCCAGCCGGAGAGCTGCCCGTGAGCCGATCAAGTGCCCCGTGAGCCCCTCCGCTGAAGCCCGCAGGAGTGCGGGCCTCCTGAGCACGAGCTGCCCGCTCCCCTCGTCTGGGGCCACAATAAAGGCTGTGCGGTCCTTCCCCACAGCCCGAGTCAGTGGATGAGCTTTTCTGTGCATCGGGCAAACGGACCCGTTTGGCTGAGTAACAGGTCACGACCGATCAAGTGCCCCGTGAGCCCCTCCGCTGAAGCCCGCAGGAGTCCGGGCCTCCTGAGCACGAGCTGCCCGCTCCCCTCGTCTGGGGCCACAATAAAGGCTGTGCGGTCCTTCCCCACAGCCCGAGTCAGTGGATGAGCTTTTCTGTGCATCGGGCAAACGGACCCGTTTGGCTGAGTAACAGGTCACGACCGATCAAGTGCCCCGTGAGCCCCTCCGCTGAAGCCCGCAGGAGTCCGGGCCTCCTGAGCACGAGCTGCCCGCTCCCCTCGTCTGGGGCCACAATAAAGGCTGTGCGGTCCTTCCCCACAGCCCGAGTCAGTGGATGAGCTTTTCTGTGCATCGGGCAAACGGACCCGTTTGGCTGAGTAACAGGTCACGACCGATCAAGTGCCCCGTGAGCCCCTCCCCTGAAGCCCGCAGGAGTCCGGGCCTCCTGAGCACGAGCTGCCCGCTCCCCTCGTCTGGGGCCACAATAAAGGCTGTGCGGTCCTTCCCCACAGCCCGAGTCAGTGGATGAGCTTTTCTGTGCATCGGGCAAACGGACCCGTTTGGCTGAGTAACAGGTCACGACCGATCAAGTGCCCCGTGAGCCCCTCCGCTGAAGCCCGCAGGAGTCTGGGCCTCCTGAGCACGAGCTGCCCGCTCCCCTCGTCTGGGGCCACAATAAAGGCTGTGCGGTCCTTCCCCACAGCCCGAGTCAGTGGATGAGCTTTTCTGTGCATCGGGCAAACGGACCCGTTTGGCTGAGTAACAGGTCAGGACAGGCCCCTGAGGGTCCGTGTGTCTGGAACACCGCGTCTGGTACGCAGAGAGCATAGCACTTCTCACGACTCTGCGTCGGCCGAGGAGCAGAGATGGGCAGGGCGGGCAGGGTGCGTAAGGGCGAGGTGGGGAGGGGTTGGGCGTGCGTGGACGCTCAGCTTGAAGGTCAAGGCTATGGGAGAGGAAGGGGGGCAAGGGGAGGGTGGCAGTCAATGGAGATGCAGCTGTATCATTCCTTAAAACCTGGAGGATAAAGGAAGAAACGCTCAAGTCACGTTACCTCGAGATCATCGAGGGAGCGGGTGATGCTCAGCCTCCGGGACCTCCCGAAGGACCTCCGGCTGGAGGCACGCGGAGCCGGGGGCACGAGTCCGATGCCCCGCCCGAACTTGGAGCCCTGAAACAGAGACAAAGACCCGTTACCATCTTGGGAGGAGCTGCTGGTTCTGCCCGACGCAGGGCGCCGCCTGGAGAGACGGAGAGGAGGGGAGGCCTCCGGGGCGTCCAGGTCGATCTCATGGTGCGTGAGTCACCACACACGAAAACCCAGAGCTGGAAAAGGTCACCCGGGGCCCCGAGTGCTCGCTGGGCCACCCCCAGCTGGACCCCCACGTCCACGGGCAAGGGCAAAACAGAGCGCGTGTCAGGGAAAGCTCGAGCGGGTGGCAGAAGTCGTTAGTAACATGGACTAGTTTTTGACAAGTTTGTGCTTTCACACAATTTTATAAGCATTTTAGGAAATTAAAGAGTCTCGGGACATTCAGCTGGTGTCTGAAGACCAAACCAAGCCCGTGGCATGAAACAACCAACCATTAACACTTCTCATTCTTTCTCTAGGAAATGACGAGAATTAATTCACTGCCATTATGCCAGACGTCTCCCCAAATATGGTTTAGCAAATAAGCCATCACGTTTTAAAAATAAAAGGCATCACAGCTGAAAATCTCCAATTTCCTGGGTACGCGAAATCCTAAGTGACCCGCTTCAAGCACAGAAGAAGTTGCAAGTTTCTAAACACTCCGAGACCTCGGGTTCTCCGCTCCGCACCTGCGGAGGGACCCAGGGCACCTCGCAGAAAGACAAAATGTGCAGCACTTCCTTGTGAAGCTCTCTGGGCTGAGCTTCTGCACTGCCAACCTTGCAGACGTACCCATGCCCTGCTGCACGCACCTCTGCGGGGACAGAGGTCCACGCACGGCCGTGCTGCAGACACGTGAGTAGCAGAGGTTCAGAAAAGCCACCTGGAACAGAGCGTGTAAGCTTGAGCAAGGAAAATCCTGAACTAACGGGAAAGAGAGGGAAGGAGGAAGGGAGACAGAGGGAGGGAGAGGGAAGACGGAGCTGAGTCTGGGAGAGGAAACGCAATGATGACCGGGACCCCTCAAACGTGTCATCACTGGTAGTAAGGGGGTCCCCAGCGCAGTAACGTGTCACCACGCGCTCCTCAACCCCCGCATCCCAGCAAGAGCCCAGGCGCACACATGCCCCCACAAGCGCGTCCTCATCTCTGCACGCCCACCCCAGGCGGGGCTGTGCTGCCAGCCTGCCCGCCAAGGTCCCTGGGCGATGTGATGCCCACGGGACTGCGGTGCACAGGCCTCAGGGCAGCGGGGGGCAGGAAGCAGGCCATGAGGGTGCCAGGCCAGAGACAGACCCCCGAGGTCCCGGGAGCATTACCCTGAAAGCAAGCCATGGAGCCGTGCAGGAGTGAGGCTGCGCGGGGTGGGGGATCGGCCTCTAAGGAGCCAAGTTGCCCAGAGACCTCCTTGTCCCCAGACGGGCCTGGGAGCCACCACGCTGCCTCTCAGAGGCCGAGGAAAGGCCTACGCCAGCCTGAGTGTGCTCAGGGCCGTGTCTCTGAGACCCTCCCCCACCCACCAACCAGGGGTGAGCCTGGGGTTCCAACTGCGCTTCTGCTCCAGGAGACGGGCACCCAGGCCGGCCCAGGGGGGGCTCTGAGACACTGATGGACCCTCACGGGCTCTTCCCTTTGTCCCGAAGTCCCCTCCTCCTCCGCCCACCCCCCTTCTCCCACCCCCTGCAGCACCCTGGCTCACTGTTGGGCCTTGCCAGCAAGTTACTGACATATTCTTGAGCAATATTTGTCTAATGTCTTTTTCAAAAAATATGCCTCGGGCTGAGTCTGTGTGTGAGATGTACTGGAATCCAGCGACCCTTTGCAGACCCATGCTGCCCCCTCCGTCCCTGGGCCCCGGCCCCCCACCCCCACCCCCAGTACAGCACACCCTTTCGAGAGCCTCCTTCAGGCGTTTTCCATAAACAGCCCCCACCACCCGGGTGAGGCGGTCCTGGAACCACCGGCCCCCAGCGCGCCCACCTCCCCGGCGGGGGCTGCAGGGTCTGCGCTCTCCGTGATCCCTGCGGGAACGCCGGCTTGGGGAAAACGGCAGGGCAAGATAACTGGGGGCCAGGGGTCCTCGCGGCGTCATGCTGGTCGTGCAGAGGCTGGAGCTGGACTGGGACGTCAGGGAAGGCCTGAGCGGACCCCGCGGTGACGCCGCAGCAGCAGGAGGAGCTGCAGCTCTCAGTGACGCCAGAGTCCCTGCCCCCTCCGCCCCCCACCCCGGGCGTGATGGGGACCGAGCTCCGGGCGTTAATAAACTGCTGGAAAAGCCCCGCTGGCCTGGTGCCACGTCACCGGCTCTCCCAGAAAGAACTACTGACACGCAGGAGCAGTCACGGCAAGGCCCGCGGGCCCGCTCTCTGCACAGTCCGCTCTTCCCCCTGCAGGCCGAGGGCCACCCCGGCCTCAGCTGAGGTTTGGTGACCTCAGCACGGTCCCCGAGGGCCACCGTCTCGTCCCCCCCAGACGAGGCCCAGAGAAGGGAGACAGCCGGCGGGGTGAGGGGAAAACCCGCTGCCCACCACCCGCGGAGGGGCCTCCCAGAGCCCACACAGTGACCCGGCCCGGTCCGTCCGGCCTACTCAGCCTGCAGGTGAGGAGCCGCAACCAGAGACGGGCCCGCTCGGGGCCAAACCCAGCTCTCGTCTCGTCTCATCTCGAAGATCAGGAGCAGGAACGCCCGACTGAAGGGTGAAGACACCCCAGTGGGGCAGGGCCGGGTCCCCGCCAGACAGTGCCAGGCACGCGGCGGGCGCTCCGTGAGCACTTATGGAACAAACCCCAGCGCACGGGGCCATCTAGGTTCCAATGGAGGCCAGGTCAGCTGAAGCTTTCCCAGGAGACTGAGGAGCGAGGCTTCCAGCTGACGCACCTCTCCTGCCCAATCAGGCAGCGTCCAGTCGGAAAGCAAAGCCACCCTGACTGCCTCACAGAGCGTCCCCGTAAAGAACTGCCAGCCAGGCCCCAGAGAACCAAGCGGGCAAAAGGGACCCACGATGCCAGGAGGCCGGGGCGGCACGGAAGAGGAGCTGTCTGAGCCTGCGGGTAGGGGAGCGGCGGGCGCGGCAGGACCCCAGCCTCGGACTCAGGCCCTCGGGGGCATGGGCGACAGCTGGTTTCGGGCAGAGAGGCCCCGGGAGGCAGGGAACCGCACGCTGGATGCAGGCAGCAGGGAGCACTGCAGCCCCCAACTGCTGCGACCAGAGCTGGGCATCAACCCAGCTGGCCAGGGGGAGGGCGCAGAGCCCATCCCGAGCCCAGCACAGGAGGAGGCCCCGGGGCTGAGGGATGAGAGCCGAGCGGCCAGCACAGCTCGTGAGGTCCGGCTCCTACAAACTCCGCCGTCAGGAAGAAGCCTAAGCCCAACATCCAATCAGTTTTAGAATCAACAGAAACCCACTTCCAACACGGCCCTGGACAAACGCAGAGGTGACTCGGGAGACGTGAGCGCTGAGGGAGGGCCCCTCTTCACTGCGATCACCTTCTCGAGAAAGAAGCCGAGACTGGGTCTCCTGCTCAACAAAGAAAGGGCAAATGTGTTTCCGGTTGTTCAGTCACTCAGTCGGTCTGACTCTTGGCGACCCCCGGGACTGCAGCATGCCAGGCCCCCCGGTCCTTCACCATCTCGAGGACTTGGCTCAAATTCACGTCCATTGAGTTGGTGATGCCATCCAACCTCTCTGTCTCATTCTCCTGCCACCTCCTTCTCCTTTTGCCTTCAACCTTTCCCAGCACCAGGCTCTACCTGCAGAAAATTCTTAAAGAGATGTGGGAATACCTGACCATCTAACCTGTCTCCTGAGAAACCTGTTCGCGGGTCAAGAAGCAACAGTTAGAATGTGTACAAAAGGTCAGTCAAATCAAGACAGAAAATTAAGGAATATGCCTGTTTATTCAATAATGTCTAAGAGACAGGCAGTCATCAAGAGTGAAAACAGAGACTTGTTCAAAAGACAGAAAAACGGTGTGTGGCAGAACTTCCAAGCCAATAAAGGAGGTGATGAAGGAAGCAAGAAAGCCAACAACAGCCTTGAAAACAAAACATACAAACAGGCAGGAAAGGAGAAGCCTAGGAAAAAAACAGACTTACAGACAGCACACAGCAACGTCATGGAACCAAGACTATACAGGCAGTAATCTCAATAAATATAAATGGACTAAATTCGCCAATTTATTCCAATCTTACTCCTGAGTCTCAGAACATCAAATTGCATCAGGGTAAACATCCAACTACCTGCCACTCATAGTAACAATCCTAAAACATGAAAAAATGGAAAAGTTTATTAAAGACAGAAAATGCTGACTCAGAGAAGGCTTGTGTAGCCATGTATAACAGACAAAACAGATTTCACCTCTAGTGGAGGTTTTTAAATAAAAGATTCAATATGCCAAAAAGAGAAGAAAGGGAGGAAAGGGGGAGAAAAATGCTGCCATTGGTTTTATGACATCGTGAGGTTAGGATAAACTTGACACCAAAACTAAACAATGAGAGAAGGGAAAGTGCAAGACAGTCTCACTCTAAAGTACGGATGCGAAAATCCTGCAAGAATACTAGCAAGCCAAACCCCGCAGTGAATAAAAAGACAAGCACGAGTTGGGCTTATCTCAGGAATGTAAGCTGGGTTCAATATTTAAACCCTATCAGTATAATATACCATATTAGCATTTTTAAGGAGGAAGCCCATCTGATTGTCTCAATGAGTGCAAAAGAACCAAAAAAGAAAGGCTAAAATTCAACACCCATTCATGATGCCAAGTATTAACAAGCAGGAAGAGAGGTAATCCTGGCAAGGCAGCGGTACATAGAAAGAAGCAAATCCACTGTACTTTTAAATATCACAAATGACGACATGTACAATTTTTATGTATGTACCACTTATAATAGTAACAAATCATATAAGGTATCTAGAAATCAGTCTGGTCAAATAATCTAAGAATAAAAGTAGTCAACAATGTTTATGAAGGTATTTATGAAAGTATACGATTTTACCGAAAGAAAATCTAAACACCTGACAAGAGATACCACTTTCACG